CCGTTGAGGCACAGCAGAACCGCTGGTCTGAACATTTCGAAAAGCTGCTGAACCTTCCAAGCGGCTTTGTCCGATCTGAAATTGACTTGGTCCAGCAGCGCAACATCATGGAACACCTGGCCACCCCACCCACTGCTGAAGAGGCTCAGCGCTGCCTTCGCTATCTTACGAACGGGAAAGCTGCTGGAAGCTCCGGCATTCTACCGGAAATGGTCAAATACAACTGCGACCTATTCTATGCCAATCTGTTTAAGCTCATTACCGCGGTTTGGGAGGAGGGCGTAGTACCGCAAGATTGGGTGAATGCTGAGATAATACCGATACCCAAGAAGGGTGACCTCACTAGCTGCGACACCTGGCGTGGCATCGCACTCCTCGACGTCATTGGCAAGCTGTTCGGACGCCTGCTGCAAAACCGATTGCAGAAAGTCGCCGAAAGTGTGCTGCCTGAATCACAGTGTGGTTTCCGGAAAGGTCGCTCCTGCACGGACATGACGTTTGTTGTTCGCCAGGTTGTGGAGAAGTGTCACGAGCACCAATCCAAGGGATTCCTGGTGTTTGTCGATTTGAGGAAGGCATACGATTCTGTTCCGCGTGCTGCACTGTGGATTGTCCTGCTGAAGCTGGGAGTCCCGGAGCAACTGGTCAGCCTTCTGAAGTCTTTTCACGACAACATGACAGCCACGATCATCGTTAATGGTTCCCCCACTGAAGGCTTCCCAGTGTGCAACGGATTGCGCCAAGGGTGTACAATGGCACCAGTCCTTTTCAACTTGTTTGCTGGTGCAGTGATGGAACGTTGGTGCGCACGCGTCCAAGAGCGTGGAGTGTCTGGTTTTCCACTCCGTACCTGTGCCGATGGTCAGCTTTTCAAGAGATCTAAGCGTGGTAATGATATGGTCATCACAGATGGTGAGTTTGCTGATGATGCAGCCTTGTTTGCACCCAGCCACTCGGATGCTCAGCGTATGCTTGAGATATTTGCGGAGGTCAGTGGAGCATTCGGGCTGTCTCTCAACATGGCAAAGACAGTGTTCATGGCTGTTGGGCATCAGATCAACGCCAGTGACCGTACCCCGCTAAGCGTACAAGGCAACGCCATCCAGCATGTCAGCCAGTTCACATATCTCGGCTCAGTGGTAACACCAGACGGACGATGCCACACCGATGTGTCCAACCGCATAGCTGCTGCATCTAAGGCCTTTGGCAGCCTCTACTCGTCAGTTTTTCGGAACACTTCACTAACATCCAAGACGAAACAACACACGTACACATGCTGTGTGTTGTCGGTGCTGTTGTACGGGGCTGAGAACTGGACACTGTTGCGTGCCGACATACGTCGCCTTGAACAATTCCACAACCGCTGCGTTCGTGTCATTCTCGGCATCTCGCGTTCCAAACAGTGGGAGGACCACCTGTCATCTGCCTCGCTGCATAGAATGTGCGCTACAGAGCCAGTTGCTGACATGGTTGCCCGTCGACGGCTGCAGTGGCTTGGCCACATTGCCAGGATGGACGACCACCGGCTTCCAAAGGCAGTGTTGTTTTCGTGGCTCCATACTCCACGCCCTGCTCATGGCCCCAGGCGTCGATGGCGTGATGTGGTACGCGATGACCTCAAGGCGTTCGGTCTATACACCGGTTGGTACGACCTCGCAGCTGAACGTGGCGAGTGGATCCAGTCCATCTCGGATGCTATTGTTGCACGGCGCTTACGCCTTGAAACGACAGCCAAGTCAGTGTGTTGTGCGATCTGTGAGCGACTCTTCGCCAGTGAAAGCGGACTTCGGCGGCACAAATGCAGGGAAGAGCGACTGAAGCCGATCCATGAACAGGCCGGTGCTGTGTTGTGCGAAACGTGCCATCGTTGGTTTGCTAGCCGAGGTGGATTTGCTGTGCACAGCTGCTCTCCCAGTCTTGGTGACGCTCCAGTTCCAGAGATTGTTGCACCTCGCCCACCTGATTGCAGCCAATGTCATTACCACTGCCACACCTGTGACCGCTGTTTCCGGAGCAAAGCTGGGCACCGCCGGCACAACTGCAACTCCAACCGCAGAACATGCAGCTCTGGCTCCGAGCGCCGCACCATCCCATGCCCGACCTGCTCTCGGAAGTTCACACGTCTCCAGTACCTGGCTCAACACAAATGCAAGAAGTAACTCTGCCCTCCTTGCCTCTTTGAGGCACTGCATCACCTTTAGGTGGCAGTTTCAAGGTTTCAAGGTGTGTGTATGTGTGTGTGTGTGTGTGTGTGTGTGTGTGTGTGTGTGTGTGCGTGTGTGCGTGCGTGCGTGCGCGCGCGGGCGGGCGGGCGGGCCGGCGGGCGGGCGGGCGTGTGTGCATGTATGTGTGTGTCTCTCACACACACATTCTCTCTCTCCCACCCCGCTCTATTTTTCATTAAGGGAGCATCTCATAAGTTCGCATTTTTTTTCTAAACGTAACGCATTTCGAAACAGGGGTAGGGGGGTAGCGCCCTTTTCGAATAGAAAAATGACAGTTCGCACATTTTCTGGTTGTGTGCTGTGCACATATGGTGCATGTGCTAGACCGCTTCAGCAGGGTGTGTTCATGGTTCATGGTGTTTAGGTGTAGATCTACCTGTAGTATGTTGGCAGATCAGCTAACCCTGCACTGCACTGCATGCAATCAATCATGCAGGCTAATCAGAGGTGTCAAATGTCACACCAACATTATCAAACCGTGTACCTGGCCAGCTTTCACAGTACAGTCTTTGTGGAGAAACTCTGTTTATGTGCGTGTACATGTCATTGGTTGTACTGTACTTGTACTCAGTAGATGCGGTACTACTGTATGCCATTCACTTCCACACTAGCAAGACATTCATGTACATGTACATGTGTTGGCATGCATGGACATGTACAGTAGTATATCTACATGTACATGTACACGGAAAATGTCCGATAAGACTTTGGGGGAGGTAGGGGGGTAAAGTCTATTCGAAATGCGTTACGTTTACAAAAAAAGTGCGAACTTATGAGATGCTCCCTAAAACTGTTGTGTCTTCCGTGTGAATCACTATGATGAGAACTGGATTTTTTCTTGGTAGCTGAGATGAACGCCTGACCCGTTTCACAGCTATGAGTTACCGTCAATTCCACTCTATCTTGCTGCTTATTGCTTTATCCTTCACTGTACTCGGCTCCGCCTTGTACACAGAGGCTCCGTCAATCATGCAGCTGGACGACGTCACCGTAGTCACTGACCGAATGGCTCAGCTTGCATGCAGAGTGCGTGCCAAGCCCCCGGCCATGATCACCTGGACCCCACCGCCGGGAGTTGTCACGGCATTCACAGAGGCAACCGAGCAGGACGCCTCGGACAGCATGGTTCAGTTCAGCACTCTGTCGTTCACTAGCAATAACGTACCAGCTGATGCTGGCATGTATACCTGCAATGCCGTGAACTCTGTCAATAGCGTCATGGGTACAGCTTCACTCACTGTCCTTGGTAAGTCATCATATTATAACTCCATTACTGGATAGTACTCAGATGGTGAGCCAAGAAGTACAGCTTCACTCACTGTCCTTGGTAAGTCATCATATTATAACTCTATTACTGGGTAGTACATGTACTCAGATGGTGAGCCAAGGAACATACTGGTTTCGTTGGTGGACTCTAAGTCTAAGGCATAACTTGTGTCCCGCCATTTCACCTTGTTTCCAATACTGGTTACTATAATGTATGTTCACTAGTTTGAGGGAAAGAGACAAACGGGAAAAGTCTGAAGAAAAAATTTGACTGTCACCACCAGGACTCGAACCAGGGACCCTCGCTTGTAGCTAGCGATGCTCTAACCACTGAGCTATGGTGTAGTCGTCATCCCAGCAGATCCCGGTATAATGTATGTACTGTCAGATACCTGTATGAGCTGGGATTTAATTGCAATGGGTCTGGGTGTGAGAGAACATTTACAAACTAGATCATTGTAATAATGCTGTAACTGGTGATCAGCATTTAGCGGCCAGTGCCTGTTGCAGCAGTTTATCACATCGCCAGCGGTTTGTGTGTTCGAAAGTTTCCTTGGAGACTATATGGCTATATGAGTGGTTCACACGAAAACTCTGAGTAGCAGCGGAAAAGAACTTGGTTGAGACATTGCTGTGTGATCATTGCATTACAGTGAAACCTGTCTAAGACGACCGCTCAAAGGACCTTTTAAACATGGCCTCTGTTACCAGGTGCCCTCCTTATCCAGGGTCATTTGTGTGGAAATAGCATCCCTCAGTCCTGGTTACAGTGGTCTATTGGGACAGGTGGTCGCCGTATCCGAGTGGTTGCCTTGACAGGTTTTACTGTACGTGCTCTGTCCACTGGACATAGAGAACTATACGCAGCCTGAGGACCTGAGACAACTGTCTAGCTATAATATTGAATAGAAGCATGAACTTTAGGCTCTTCAACAACATGGATTTCTCTAGGGAACTGTCGTGCCTTCTCCTCAGGTGACATACAGGCAAGAGCAAACAGGAGAAAAAAAAGAATTATGTGTGATTTTATGTTCGGGAACATTTACAAAGTGTTTCTCTATGTTGGCTATGTTATGGATTGTGTGCCCTCAGTGCCACCTGTAGCTACTGTGTCTCCCGGCACACTAACCATCAACAACAACACCATGGCCGAGTTCATGTGCGCGACATCGTCGGGAACGGGCCCGTTCAGCTTCCAGTGGGGCACGCCGAATGGTGCACAGGTTGCGTCTATCACGAACACAGCCTCGGATAGCCGACTACGAGTACCGCTGGCACGGCATAACCAAGACAACGGTACCTACCAGTGCACTGTGACCCTAGACAGGCCGATGGACTTGCAACGCTCCGATTCGGCGTCAGCGCCACTGATCATACAAGGTGAGCCAGGCTCTACTCTTGGTACTGCACAGGCAGAAAATTTCGTCGGTCAATAATTTCGTCCAACTCCAAAGAAAGGAAGTTCGCCCGGTTGAGACTCTTGAGAGTTTTGTCCATGGACCATAAGAGTGTACTGAAAAGCTGCACAGATCAACATTAGACCTACATATAATTTCGTCCAAAAGCTCCTTGGATGAAAAAGACGAAAATAAACGCCAGACATATTTCTGCTTATACATTAGTATAATTATACCCCTAGCAGCGGTGGGGACTGGGGGGAGCACATAACCCCCTGGATTACTCTCTCCGCTCGGAACCCGTCGATGGCCACGTCCTCTTCCTGTCAGGAACCATCCCCTCTATGACTGGGTGTAAGGGCACATTTCCAAACAAAGTCATTACATTATAACTCCGTAACTGGTCTTGTGCATTCAGCATCAGACACCGGTTGCAGCAGTTGCTCACATTGCTAGGGATCTGGGTGTGAGGGAGCATTCACAAACGAAGTCGTTGTTGTATTGCTCTGTAGTCTGCATGCAACCTCTTCATATCATTTATACAAGAAGTCGTTATTGTATTGCTCTGTAGTCTGCATGCAACCTATTCATATCATCTATACAGTATTTCTAAATTGAAAACTCTAACAAGTTCAACAACCCTTGGTTCTAGTTGAACTAGTCCTCTTGGACAGGTGGTCACATTTTCAGAGTGGTCACCTTGACAGGTGTACTGTACCATATCTTGCTGTACGTCATACTTGGAGTGATACTAGGTTTGTATATGATGAAGCTGCAATAGCGACGATTATATGATGAAGTTGTGTTGGAGTGCTTTCTGGTGTCTCCTTGTGAACAAAGTGTATGTGTGTGCGTGCATGGATGCATATGTGTATGTGTGTGTGTGTGTGTTTGCGTGTGTGTGTATGTGTCTGCGTGTGTGTATGTGTGTATGTGTGTGTGTGTGTGTGTGTGTGTGTGCGTGTGTGTGTGTACGTGTGTGCATGCATGCGTATGTGTATGTGTATGTGCGTGTGTGTGTTTGCGTGCGTGCGTGTTTGTGCGTGCGTGTGTGTGTGTGTGTGTGTGTGTGTGTGTGTGTGTGTGTGTGTGTGTGTGTGTGCGTGTGTGTGTGTGTGTGTGTGTGTGTGTGTGTGTGTGTGTGTGTGTGTGCATGTGCATGTATGGATGTATGTGTGTATGTGAATGTGTACTATGTGACTACGTGGTGCAGTGCCCACGGCCATAGTGGAAGCCAACGACGTCACAACCAACGCCACCCAGTCCCCAGTGTTGCTGTGCAGAACACGAGGTGATCCACTTCCCACCGTCACATGGGAGGGACCCCAAGGCAACATACTCAACGGACCAAGGTTCCTCCAGGACTCCAGCACCCTCGGACCTCTCTACATCGATCACACGCTCACCATCTCCATGGTAAGGCCCGAAGAGCAAGGACAGTACATATGCCAGGCGGCAAACGTTGCCGGAACCGACGACACCAATGTCTTCCTCAGCGTACAAGGTATGGTTGGCAATTCTGCTTAGGAATATTTCAACTTTGTTCGGTCTACAAAATAGGTGAATACCTTGTTAAGCCAGCACAGTTCGTACGACGGGCTGCTGGATTGGGGAAAATGGTAAGTTATCCGATCATATCATTGTAGCTAGAGAGCACAGGTAGATACAGCCGTCAGCAAAAAATCCGGCCAATGCTATGCTAGGCTACCGGTAGCTGTACGGTGCAAGGGCCGCATGCAGCGGTGCTCGACTCGACTGCAGCAGGTTAAGCAGAGTGCAGCGCAGACTGCTCAGTGCTTAGCTGTGCTGGTACTGTATATGCATGCATCCCAACATGTCACCATGAAGTACCGCCGGTGAACAGGTGAACACGTACCATACCAGTACCACTGTATCCATGGCAATGGCCGGATTTTTTTGGCGACGACTGTAGTAGCCTGTCCTTGTGGGCTTGATTCACTTCTAGTAGAAAGTTACTGACCCATCGCAATCATGAACACTTTGTTTTGCTGACAGTAGTAGTTAACTCTGAGTTTTGAGATTTTTTGAGATTACTTTCTACACGCTACTGCTCTAACCCGCAGCAAGAATTAAACCTGAGATGTGGATATACGTGTGTGTGTGTGTGTGTGTGTGTGTTCATGTGTGTGTGTGTATGCATGCGTGCGTGCTTGCGCACATTTTTTCAGTTTTGGCCGTGATAGTGCCGGCCAATCGGTTCGTTATCGGCATCACCGGCATGCCAGCCAAGCTGACGTTGAATCTCACGTCACCCGGACGACCGGCCGTGCTGCCCGCCGACATAACGTGGACTCGAGCCGACAATTCCGCCTTCATGCAGAACGACCCGACGGCAGGCCATACGGTATCGGCTGACGGACTGTGTTTGCGTTTCAGCAACGTGTCCACTCCGGATGATGGTGTGTATAGGGTGACGGTGTGCAATCCAGCTGGATGCGTGTCGGCCGACATTGAGCTGGAGGAACAAGGTAGGACTTAGCAGACAAACTCATTCGCTATACCGGCTTGACTTGCGTTTACGATGGACACTGGGTGCGTTTTGCATGTGTCCTTCTACATGTATGCAAACTATCCTGCAAGCTGGAAAAACGCACTCTCGGTGTGGCTTTTAAAGCCACACAAAGGAATTGTTATAAATCCGTCGAGAATCAAGAGCATGGATGGCGTACAAACAGGAAGGTCACACCACCCTGTGTAGGGCTGATGTTTGGTCTCGACTTTTCAGACTTATTGTAAGAGAAATTACCTTTTTACGTGACACTCAGGATGATGGTTGTGATGAAGCCGAGACCCAAGGTCGGCAGAGCATCCCAGACCACGCCACCACTTCCCGTATTCATGGCTCACACTTGGCGGATTTACGTGGCTCTAGTAAAAAATATAATGAAAAAGGCGATTCACACGACAAGCAAATCCTTGTTTAGAGATGCTCCAGTGAATAGAAAGAATAATTGTCCATTCTTGAACGTTTCAGGCTTTTCTTCTTTCTTTCTACAAAGTCCATGCATCTCCAGACACTGAAGTGAATTTTTTTATTTTTTTATTTTTTTTACTATGTTCACATACCCAACTCATAAATAATACAGAAGACAATGGTACTGAGACAAGGACAAACGTGACAACTACTGAGAAGGGGCTGCACCGAGGTGCAGCAGTGATGGTGGGGCATTGATGGCTCTGCCGACCTGAAGTCTCGGCATCACGGCCAGAAACACGCACCAAAAACAAAAGATAGAGCTATAAGGGTCAGCAAAAATAAAAAGAAAGCAAGGGCAAGCAGCAGCTAGTACTAGTCTGCAGCGCATTCGTAGCAATGGGAGTCATTGACGGGGCACTAGAATGTAGGTAGGTCGACAGGCAGAATGTCCGTGGACCATCGCCAATCCTGTCGGTGGAGGTATTCGTTTGCGAGTTGGGGCGAAGTCTAGAAAAGCTGGCGGCAGGGAATTCCACAGCTGAATTGCACAATGTGGGAAGCTGCGGAGAATGGTGTCTGGTGCTTGACGCGGTAGCGGATTTCGTAGTTGATAACTGTGGCCGGCGGCCATGAATACAGGAGTGTGGTGGTGCGGCCCATTATAAGTGATTTCTCTCTACCATGACTTTGTGTATGTTTGTTACAGCATCGCCGGCACTGCTCGCAATGCACGCGAACACTACGGCCGACGAAGGAGAGCGCGTTGTGTTCGTATGCTCCGCCGCCGGCCTGCCTGTACCCAACATCACCTGGCAGCTGAACGGCAGCACCATCGTGGACTCGGTCGGCGATTACAGCATCAGCAATGTTCTCTCCGACACCATGCCCACCATCAACAGCACGCTCACGTTCGATGCCTTGTTCGGCGGTGCCCGTGGCAACGGCGAGTACAGCTGTACGGCAACCAACACTCAGCAACCACCGGCTGTTGCCATGGCAACTCTGCAAGTCTTCAGTAAGTAGTAGGGATGGGTGCTCAATTCAGACACACCAAACCAAGACAAACCCTCGGAGAATACAGATTTGTTCCTGGGCTCGAGGATCGGCAGCATATTTCCCATGCCTTTCGACGGGCTATGACAAATTCTCGAGAAGATGACCCAAAGACAGAGTCTGCAGAGGCTGAAACACGGCTCAGATGAATTCTATTTTACGACCCGGGGAAACATCCTTCGAACTCCATACTTAGTATTTTGGGAGTAGTAGGGGGGGGGGGGGGGGTGTGGGTGTGTGTGTGGGGGGGGGGGGGGGGGGGGGGATGGTGGTTTGTAGGGCCGGGGTTGGGGGGTTGGTATGTGAGGGAGTCTAAGGAAGGTACCGGTCGTTTTCACACCAACTCCCTCTTTTAATCATGCCCAACTCTGCATGCGTTCTTGACTTTGCTTTCGTTATGCTCCAGCCATACCCCTGGTTGCAGTGGCTCCTGTTAACGTCAGCATCGTAGCTGAGAACCCTGCCAACTTCACTTGCAGCATATCTGCAATACCCACTCCTGTGATTACGTGGTACCGAACCATCGACGGTGTCACCACGCAGCTCACTAACAACTCCGTGGACAACATTCGCATCCGCACGGTTTCGATTGCCGATGATAACATCACGTCAGAGCTGACGGTGCTGAACGTTGGCCTGGTTGATCTTGGACTCTACTTCTGTCAGGGCCGTCACCTGGAAGACGGTATCATGGGGAATGTGACGAGCGCTACTGCTTCTCTCGATGTGTTTGGTAAGTCTAGAGAGGGCACTGGTTGTGAGTTTGTATGTCTCACGTGTGCTATTGAGAGTCACTCACTGATGTGACGGAGGGTCTTTTGTTTACAATGCATGTAGGCAAGAAGAGTACATTCAACCCAGAGTGTGCAGCTTGGGCCACTTTCCACTATGGATGTCTGTCACGGTGGAATTCCGTGATTTCATCCTATTTGGTGCAGATCTGAGGCGGGAAGTGGTGCGTACAACTGAGCTGCAGTTGTGCAGAAAGATGCCTGCTTGAATCCTGCGTGTATGCACTACATCACTAAAGTGATGTAATCACAGAATTTCGCCGTGACAGCAATCCATCACAGCTGCACACTCTGTTTTTATGTGCTCTTGATGTGGTGCTTAAAGGCGAT